GGCGCTCGTATGGTCGTCCAGCGAAACGCTCAGACAGTCTGCGGTAAGGACGCAGTAACGAGACGTGGTAGACATCGTGCACACGAGTCTGGCGTAGGTAGTCGGGCAGCTTCACACGGAAGTTGACCGGGCTAGATGCCGTGTCAGAACCGACGGCCTGGAGGATGCGGCATGGGCCAAGGAAGAGACGCCGGAACTTGCGAAGCGTGTCCGCTTCGAGCTGTAAGTGGCGGGCGTCGATAAGCACGTCATCGCCGACTTTGAATGAGTGGTCCATCCTCGATCGGTTCGCACGTGCTGCCATGCGAGTCTGGGAAGCGAGTATGTGCTCATGTGCGGTCTTCATGATCGACGTCATGTGTGCAACCCAATCATCCAGTGCGGGACAATTCATGTTGGGGTGCATTTGTGACGGTCGAAGGAAGTCCGCAGGATAACGAGGGTGATAGCCGAGGTCGCAATAGTAAGGCGACATCCCCGTGGCTGGCGAGATGGCGTGGTTGTAGGCTATCTCCGCATGGGCAAGATGGAGGTCCCACTGTTGGTCGTCACGAACAATCTTTCGGAGAATATCTCCGAGAGTCCTGTTCGTGATCTCGGTCTGACCATCAGTCTGAGGATGGTAAGACGAGGAGAAGCGGAGCTGAGTGCCGTATACCTCGTGGAGCCGTCGCCAGAATCGGCTGGTAAAGCGCGGGTCACGGTCAAATATGATGCTGAGAGGTAAGCCGTGGTCACGCACGACTCGGTCAAGTACGATGTCGGCGACCTCTCGTGCACTGATAGCATAGCGGCATGGAACAAAGCGTGCACGCTTCGTGAAGCGGTCGACGACGACCAGGATAGTATCATGACSGCGGGGGGTCGGAGGTCGAAGAGGACCGATAAAGTCCATCGAGATGGACTGCCAACGACCCTCAGGGATAGGAAGAGGCTGGAGCAAACCATAAGGCAGGTGGTTCGCACTGTTCACCTCCTGACAAGTGGGACACTCTGCGACGTAGTCCTTCACAAAGTCCTTGCGCTTCGGCCAGACGTATAGGCGGCTCACACGAGCCAACGTCTTGTGGAAGCCCATATGACCGGCGGCTGCCTGGTCATGGAACTCTGCTACTGCTCGGACACGTAGCTGTCCAGTGGAGGGAACGCAAATATGGGGCTCTCTGGTGCCCTGTGAACCGTGCCAGTACACGAGACCGTTGTCCCCGAGAGAGGAGTTCGGGACGGTCTTGCCACTCCGAAAGGGCGCGTGGATGTCGCGATAGTCGGGGCAGTGGCGGTACTGAGTGCGAAACTCATCGATCACTGAGTGGTGGACGGTGGTGACCGAGATGGAAGAGAGCTGGATCTGCTCCTGATCGTGGTCAGGGCGCCGGGATAAGGCATCTGCGACCAGGTTAGTCTCACCCTTGATGTGCTCAGTGGTGAAACTAAACTCGGATAGGTCGCGCCACCAGCGAGCCTGTCGAGGAGTGAGCTTCGGTTTTGTCAGAAAAGTCTGGACAACAGAGTTGTCCATACGCACCGTGAACGGTGCCCCATGCAGGTAGTGACGCCAATGCCGAGCGGCATAAACTACTGCGAGAACCTCACGTTCATCAGCAGTGTAGTTTATCTCGGCGGGCAG